ATTTGGCTATTGTCTAAATTAGTTTTGCTACATTGCTGTGAAAACATCTACTGATATAGGACACTTTTTAATCAAGGGATTAAAGCCATATTCAAAGTCTAATTTAAAACCAAAATAAAATTTAGTTTGTTGAGCAAGGTGCTTTTTGGGCCTATTAGTTTCCTTGATAACAAAATTTCAAATGACCGATTAGGCCATATGATTTATAGCATGTTTGCTTTTTTTTGAAAAATGTTTTATTTGCTTTTTCTTAATAAACAGAATGTATACACATATATATATGTCCTAAGGATCTTATTGACCATACCTATTTTCTTTACTTGGTTCTATTAGCCTCAAATGGCAGATAGTCCACAGCTGTCCTCTATTGGAAAATCAGATTCATCTTTCTCTGAAAGTTCTGGACTATTTTATAAAGATGAATCCCTGGAGAAAGATTTGAATGGTGATGTATAAAATGCTTATATTTTTATACATCAATTTTATAATGCAGAAGGTTTGTTACATTTCATAACTTAATGATTTTTCTTGAACAGATATGAGCAAGGAAATTAATCTAATGTTGTCTGCATATGCAAAGATATTAAGGCAAGTACTTACAGTATATTCTCTTGAGTCTTTGTGTTAGCAGTTTTCTTCTGGAAAGTCTGTAATGGGAAGTTTAATTCTGTGGTTGCAAAACCTATCAAGTAATTAAAATTTTGGAATTTCTCATTCTACCTCAGTTCATTACAATAGATTAGCTGGTTATTTTCAGGGTATAACCTCAGCTTTTCTACAAAATGTCCTTTGTTTTGCTGTTGCCAGAGTTAATACTAGACTAGATATATCTTGGTCTCTAATTAGATGACATGCTTTAAATTTTATGTAAATACCTCTTTGAGAAAAATATCATTTGGTGAAATTAATGATAATAACGGAGTGATATTAAAGATAAATATTTATTTCATACAGAGTCAGCTCTCTGTGTCTGTGGGTTCCGTGTCTGTGGATTCAACCAACCATGGATTGAAAATATTTTGGGAAAAGTATGGTTGTGTGTGTACTGAACATGTACAGACATTTTTCCTTGTCATTATTCCCTGAACAATACAGTATAACAACTATTTACATAGCATTTATATATCAGGTATTATAAATAATGTAGAGATGATTTAAAGTATATGGGAGGATATGCACAGGTTATGTGCAAATACTATGCCATTTTATATAAGGGACTTGAGTGTCCATGGATTTTCGTATCCATAGGGGATCCTGGAACCAATTCCCAATGGATACTTAGTGATGACTGTATTTATATTTTATCTATATATATTTGAAGGCCTAATTTAAATATTTTATTAGCCTGACAGTATCATATTTTATAAGGTGGTTTTTAACTGCTAGATAGTCATACTTGAATAATGATTTGTGCGGCTGTAAAAAATAATGTATATAATTTAATATTAGTGTTAAAATGTATAAGATATGCTTTCTGCTGTGTCAGGGGACTTTTTGAGTAGTCAAAAATATTTGTGGGAACAATTTAACTTTTTCCTTAACAGTATTAGTAAATTAATGAAGCTCTGTGGTACAGAAAGCCATTTAAATGTAATAGTTAACAAATATGATATAATAAAGAATGTCACCATGATTTGTGTGTTTGGACTTTATAACTACTTAGTTTAACATAAAACTTTTTTCCCCATTAGTGAGAGAGCAGCAGTAGATGCATCTTACATTGACGAGATAGATGTACTCTTCAAAGAAGCCAACACTATTGAAAATTTTCTCATGCAAAAAAGAGAGCTCCTGAGACAGAGGTTCACAGTGATTGCAAACACACTGCACAGATAAAATGTGTACTTAAAATAAGCGGAGAATTTAAACTTATTGTTGTAATGAAAGAATGACATGCTTTGAAAGCTCTCTAGTTAAAGAAAATGTATGTCTTAAACAGAGAAGGGGAAACTTGAATTTCTTTTCTAGATTTAAAAGGGGCTTTAAGCTGGACATTAATATGAGCTATGTCACTTTTCTTTTGAGGGTCAAATATTTGTCGCATTTTGTAGAAGTATAAATTATTTAAATCCTATAGGGATTCTTTTGGGTTTTTTTCCTTAAGCTTCCTAGCCTTTCTGAAACATCTAAAAGAGGACTCAGTTAATTTATAATGTTTAACAATATTGTACTTTTTCTTTAGAATATTTTGTTTAAATAGCAGATAGTTTTAAAATGTTTTTCGTGGTCAGTATTTTTATAAAAGCACATTAAAACCTTAATGGTAATTTGTCTAGTTTCTTAATATAAAATAGAACTGTGTACTGTTGTTTTTTAATATTACCATTTGATTATTTTCACTATTATTATAAATGGCTAATAAAAACTCTTGGCTTAAAATTATTTTCTTGTGGTAAAAGTAATAAAATAAAAACCAGAAATTACTAACCAGAACCTTGTATGAGTTAGCTTTTTACACATCAACCACATCGATGTATGCAGTTAGTGAATTATATTTAGAAGCCTTAGCAGCAGTATGGTATGGGATAAAGATTAGTGATCCAGAAGTAAAGAGATTGCCTTAAATAATAACACGACTTTGATAGGTCACTTCCATCCTCTTATAATTTAGAAATTGTATTTGGACTAGAAGATCTGTACTATTCATCTAGCTAAAAAAATTCTCCTTTTGATATAAAGTACTGCTACGATTTTATTGACTATATTTTATAACTATATGGGATAACTAATTAGATTTTTAAAAATCACAGTACCCATTTTTTAATCATAGATAATTCAGTCTATTTTATATATATAATATATATATGTTTTTTTTCCAATATAAGCAATCAGAAATTTGGATATATTTGCAGACAGTACTACAGAGAATTGGTATTCCTAAGAGAGATAGTACATTTGCTTTGCAGCCTTCTAAACTCTAAAATAAAATCTCTTTTTATCAAATTACTATTTGAAGGAATAAACACTGCACAAGCCGAATAAAATATTTACTAAAAAAACCTGGTTATTAAGTGGAAAAAATTTATTGAGTTGGTAGGGATATGCACTGATGGTACAGGATAGGTTGGAGGTCAACAAACTATTAGAAATGAAATTAGGGGATGGGCGTAGTGGCTCACACCTGTAATCCTAGCACTCTGAGGTAGGTGGATCCTTTGAGCTCAGGAGTTCAAGACCAGCCTCAACAAGAGTGAAACCCCGTCTCTTCTAAAAAAATAGGAAAAAGTTAGCTGGACAACTAAAAATATATAGAAAAAATTAGCTGGGCATGGTGGCGCATGCCTGTAGTCCCAGCTGCTCAGGAGGCTGAGGCAGTAGGATTGCTTATGCCCAGGAGTTTGCTGCTGTGAGCTAGGCCGACTCCATGGCACTCTAGTCCGGGCAACAGAGTAAGACTCTGTCTCAAAAAAAAAAAACAGGAATGAAATTAAAAATTAAATGCAACCAGAAGACTATATTTGAGTTAACATAACATGTCACCTGGATTTTGAGTCATTTTGCTACCTCGCAGAGCTCTTTATGTTTGGAACACAAAGATGACTCTGCTGAACTACCATCATTAAGAAACATCCTTGAGTTATTTTTTCTAAGCATTTATCATTAATATGAAAAATAAGGCCAACAGATTGCTTCAGACTGGATTTCATAATATAGTTCCTGTATTCTAATGGTATCACCATTGTTTAGCATCTGGTTCTTCCCTTTGCAGGTTCAGAAAATTGATTTGATCATTTCATTTGGTATGATTAAGACTGGGGAACTGATTTTAAGTCACAATTTACTTACTGCTCAGAACAGCTACCTTTTAGTCTAAAAGTGCCTGAAAGCCTAATAATTAAGGCTTTTTTGAAATCAAATTTTGATAGCTTTGGTACCATCCACATAAACAAGAATAATCTTTCAACAGGAGATATGTTACTGCAGGAATACCATTGCTCTTTAATTTACTTTTCTAATATTACTCTATCATTTCAATAAATTTAAGGAGTTTATAAATTATTTTTTATTGCTTACTAATCAAAATATATTAATATACTGAACCATCTTTGTCGTTCCTTTGCTAGGCACTGCGGAAAATACAGAATAGTTTAAGGCACTGCCTCCTGACAATTTTAATCATACCTTTCTCGAGATACACTTACAGCTTTGTTAGGAAGACATGTTACTATTAAAAGCATCTCTGTGGCAATGCTGTGGGAGTTACTAGAAGGCCTTTGGCAAGGGGGTCAGAGAGGTAGATTTTGAATTGTATTTTTGAAAAGGAAAAAAGGAGGATATTTCAGGCAGGGAAAAGTTTGTTCAATGGAACAGAAGAAAAAAACATGTCATGTTAGACAGCCACTTTGCTGGGATGAGAATTCACAAAGGGGAATAGTGTGTCACCTAAACTGCTGGAAAACAGAGACGGAATCTTACTATATTTCTTGGCATTCTTACTTCGTACCACAGTGTTTGATACATTGGCGCTCAAAAATGTTTGTTAAATTAATAAAATCATATGTAATTGTACATTTTTAAGGGCTTACTTTCACAGGATCTTACACACACTAGATCATCAGAAAATGTTTTGTAAAATTAACGAATAGAAAAAAGATCTAGAAGTTGTCATGAATATTAAAAAAAAAAGAAGGGTGAAATGATTTAAAGGCAGAGAGAAAGAAGGACAGGTAAGTTGTTGCCAGATCTTTGAGTCCTTTATTGACAGTCTAAATTTGGACTTTGTTCTATATCTGAGTCTTTCAGAGGAGAGGAGTGGCATAAGAAAATGATCCCATGGATCCAGATCAGCTGACTTAACCAGTGTGAGGACAGATTCGCAAAAGCAAAGTTTAGGAAAGGAGACCACTATTGGTGGTCCAATTTTAATATTTCAAACAGCTACTTATAGATAGGTTGTTGGGATACTTGTCATTGGAAATGAAACCAAGAGAGATTACAGAGTTTCGAAGCCCCACCCCTTACTCCCCTTCCCTACCCCATTCTGTCACTGAGCCAGGGACAGTCCAGGAAGTTCTGTGAGTGTTCACTGTTCAGTGGTACTTAAATCTGCCACTGTGTTTGGAGATTTGGAAATCTTGGGATCTGCTCAATACAAAAATGTTTTTTCGAATCTTTCTCCATTGTCTCAGCAATCTTTCTACCATTGCAGTGGGTTTCTTTTTGGTGATAGTGCACCATCTCCCAGGTAGGAGATTCACCCCTTCCTCTTCCTTGTTCTCCTCTTCCTACCAGTCTGCACTTAGAATTCTGTGCCTCTTTTCTGAAGATTACTGGGAGCTTCTGAAACTTTCCGCTCTGTGTGGAGCAGATATAGGCAGCAGCTCTGCAGAGCCAGAAATTGAAGGAGACTGAGTCAGGTTTGCTTAGTTAGCATCAGGGAAATAGCTGTTATGTTTGCATATTTTATGCAACATATAAAGACAGGATTCAGGGGTTAGGGATTCTGCTGGATCTGCAATAGGAAGAATTTTGACTATTCAGAGTTCTCTAAATTGAAAATCACTGACACTTATTCTACTGTAAATGTTTGGTTCTTCTATTTGCAATCTGGGGGACTGCTTTAAAACCTGTTTATTATCTTGTAGCTTTCTATTGTAGTTATTATTGTTAGGTGATTTATTTTTTGAAATCGATCTAGAGCTATCAGAAATCATAATGATATACACTATAAATTTTTAAATTATTTAATTCAACAATTTAGAGCGTGCAGTATTCAGGGTATTATGTACTGGAGGTATACAGTATTACATACTGAAGGGAGAGAGGATACAAAAACTAGACCTTGTACTAAAAGAGTACTGGTAGCACGCATTTATCACAAAAGATGGAATAAGGTAAGTGCTGTGCCATTTGAAAGCTATGTGAGTTCAGACTAAGGAGAAATTAGTTCTTGCTGTAGGAAATGGGAATGCCATGTATATGAAGCAAGTGACATGGAAACTGGATCTTGAAGGATGAGCTGGGTGAGTGAATTACATCTGAAGAAGATGGGAAATATCTTAGGTGAAGAGCATGGTATGGTTATAATGAGGAGAAAAGAATGGGGAGTGGTCCAGTTAGGCGGGAGTGGAAGGCATTAGTGAGAGACAGAGCTGGACAGGTAGTTTGCAGTGATACTGTACAGGGCCTTCATCAGTGCCTGGCCAAGCAGTTTAGCCTTTACTTGGTAGGCAATGAGGAGCCATTTGTGAAGGTTTTATGGAGGAATATATGATGCAATCAGATCTATACTTAGGAAAATTATTTTAGTAGTAGTGCTTCACAGTCTTTTGCCCATCATAGCACACATAGAAAATGATAATGTGTTTACCGAACATTGGAGTAAATTGGATGGGACTGGAGCCCTGACGAGCTACTTGGAGCTGCAGGCAACTGGCCTGGGGTCTCTGGCCCTTCCAGGGGCTAAGAGGATCAGGAGGCCCACAGTTAGGAAGGTTGATTCCTATCTATTTTCTCCTTCCATAGGACACTGTTAGAATATCCAGTTAAAAGGCCGTGAGGGCTTAAATTAGGACAGTAGGAAGGACTGATATGCAAGAGAAGTTGAGGCATCAGTACTGATAAGGACAGGCCTAGGGCAGAAAAAAATTGTGAGGGGGCTGCCTAGGAGGGAAGGACTGGTAAAAATCTTTACAAAGGATTTCCCCTAGTTCCCCTTGCAGACTTTTGAGCCCTAGTAATTTATAGTGGCCACCCCATATCATTTTCTTAGCATCCCCTTACTGGCCCTGTGTGGGTAGAGTCCACTTAGTGAATGTGTGAGGGACAGTAGAGAAGATGAATTCAAGGCCCACAGAGATGTTGAAGCTAGTAGGTACGATTTAGTAGTATGATTTAGTAGGTACGAAAATTGATTGCAAAGGGGGAAAATGAAGAATTTTATTTTGACATGTTGAGAGTCACATGCAAGAAGTAATTGGTGAAATTAAGAGACTGGACGAGATTACCAAGGAGAGTGCTGAGATTAAAGAGTAAAGGTTCAAAGTCAGACTTGAGGAACACGTTCATGAGGTGATAAGAGGAAAAGGAGCCGATAAAATGGAATTAACCTTTGGAAAGTATCTACTGTCATCATATTTACTTATGAAAATAGACATAAACAGGAATTTTTATCCCCATTTATCATTGAAAAACCTGAGGCTCAGAGAGATTAAGTAACTTGCCCAAGGTTGTCAGCTAATAAGTAATCAAGCTAGTATAAAGCAGAAGACTAGTCAGAGACAGAGCAGGAAAGTTAGAACAGAACAATGTCTCAGAAGCTAAGAATAGAAAGGGGTTTAAGAAAATGTTGACAATATCAAATACTATGGAAAGTTTGAAGAACATATAATAGATGGTCAACAGCATGCTATGGTGTATAGAATCATAGAGATATGTAAATATTTTCTAAAATGTAAAATGTTTAAAATTCTTGTATCTCTACTCAGACAAATGCCCAGTCAGGCTGTTCCATTTAGTTCTACTTAAATAAATAAGAGGAGTAAAATACCTTACCTCCAGGAATTTATTTTAATCTAAGAGGAGAATAGATAAATATACATAATGTTAATAAAAGTAGAGTGAGATAAATACCTGAGGGTTTCCTCCTCTATCTTTCCAAAGCATCTAATACTGTGGTTCCCAAATTTTGGTATGCTTAAGAATACTTACTTCCCTGCCCCTCCAGATTCTGATTTATTAGGACCAGAGTGGAGTCCAGGAATCTGCATTTTAGCAATAACACCAGGTATTTCTGTTGCAAGTAGTCCTCAGACCAGATTCAGAAACACTGCTGAAACTAATCACTTAGTACAATATCAGTATCTGTTTGTTTACCAGACGGTAAGTTCCTTCCAGAGTTCTAATACTTTTTATCCCTCATAGTACTTAGTGCTTTGTTGAATGAATAAAATAATTCAAAGAAAGAAAATATTCCATCTTATTGGATTGATCATTACAGGATATGTACATAATAATAGCTAGCATTTTTTGAGTATTCTGTTCTAAAAGCTTTACATAAACTAACACATTTATTCCTTATAGCCTTAGGACTGATAAGAGTTATTATTCACAGCTTAGAAAGGAGGAAACAGAGCACAGAGAGGTTGTAACTGTTTTACTTATACAGCTACTTATTTGGGAAGTGGCAGATTTGAAACCACGCAGTCTAGAGTCAGGCAGAGCCACAGCTCACACTCTTAAATATTATACTATGCAGCTTCTTAAGGGAAGTACTGTAACATTTGAGCTAGATCTTGAACAATTGATGGAATTTCCTTAGGCATAGGTATTGGGAAGGTCATTCAGGATGAAAGTAAATCAGGAAAGAATTGGGTTTGACAGAATTGTTACATGTCATGTAGGAAAGTAGAAGGTCTCATATTCCAAGCTTTCAAATTTTTGAAAGATTTGAAAGAAATGGGATAACAATTTGCTAAAAGAATGCAAATTTTATCTCTTCAGAGGAATAGTGTCCCTATGTGTTAGCTCATTTTTCTAGTTAAACTTTTATGAAGTAAATAAAGAATTAAATTTTATAGCACCTAATTAATTGTATATTTGACCACCCCTCTACTTTAGACAATACCGTCTTGTGAACACTCAGTAAGTATGAAATAATAGGAGAATTTTCAGTTCCTCATTATACAATGATGATTTTTACTTTTTGTGGCTTTTGGGCTTTACGTAATTTCAGACTGGGTATCACTGTGTAGTTTAATTTATGATACCCTTGTTTTGGAAAATGTCATGTACATGCATATGTATTCCATTAAAATAAAAGAAATTAAGATCCTTGCTGGGTGCTGTGGCTCATGCCTATAATCCTAGCACTCTGGGAGGCCAAGTGGGGAGGATCGCTTGAGGTCAGGAGTTCGAAACCAGCCTGAGCAAGAGCCAGACCCTGTTTCTACTAAAAATAGAAAAATTTAGGTGGGTGACTAAAAATAGAAAAATATTAGCCAGGCATGGTGGCATGCACCTGTAGTCCCAGCTACTTGGGAGGCTGAGGCAGCAGGAGTGCTTGAGTCCAGGAGTTTGAGGTTGTTGTGAACTAGGCTGATGCCACGGCACTCTAGGGCAAAGAGCAAGACTCTGTCTCAAAAAAAAAAAAAAAAAAAAAAAAAAAAATTAAGATCCTATTAAATTCGTAGGAATAGCTATGAAATCTCTAGGATCACATTCTGATGTATCTAAAGTACTGAGGTCAATATAATTATAATATTGAATGGTGGTGGTCAGTTCTTTTTTTTTTTTTTTTTTAGCATAAAATGCAGTTTATTGAGGAAGGACAAGATTAATTTACAGAGAAAAAGAGCAAGATAAAAGTTTTCTGTCATAACAAAAGGGCTGCTGGTCATTTCTTATCATAACAACGAGGATGCTATTAGCACATCCGGCAACAGCATATAGGTATATTCTTGTAAAATGACAAGCATTGTTCAACTCTGAGAAATGATTAAAAATAGTAATTAAGGTCCTGAGTTGATTCTTAGGAGGATTAGTACTACAAGAAATACAAGAAGGAATTGTGGTTTGAAAATGGAGAACCAAAGCATTGATAGGCTGAGAATAAGGAAGGAGAGAGGAAATTCTGAGACTGTGTGGTGTTAGGTTCACATTTCCTTTAAGCTGCCAGTTGATAAGATTATTGTCTATGAGAAACAGGCATGTTTATAGATGATTTGGTAAAGATTTTTTGTGCTTTTGGTTTCCTCTTCACAGTTTTGAAGAAGTACTTGGGAAATACTCATCAGAAAAAAGCCATCTTTGGGCAACGGCAGAATCTGCCATGTATTGCACCGCTACTGACCACAGTGGAGGAGACACCACAGGTCATTTCTGCTAAAGTTCGAGGACGTTTTCCTGAGTGGCTCAAAGGCTATCTACTTCGAATTGGACCTGGGAAATTTGAGTTTGGGAAGGATAAGTAAGCTTTGATTTTTGGAGAACAATTTTCATTCTCGGAATGGGCTGGTTCTATGCAATAAGCATTAATTATCTGCTTCCTCTCTGAGGCTAACGTTGCCGTTCCATCCTTTTGATTACGGATAAGAAAACTGTAGCCTAGAGGAGAAAAAAGGAGACTTCATTCTTTTTAAAAAGTTCTGCTTTTTCTGCTCTGCAGAATATCATAAATTTGAAGCCATTTGCAAGTTTGTGCCAGATGTCAGGAGCTCTCTGTGTGACAACCAAGCTGTTTTCATCACAAGTTCCTGAAGGAAGGGCAATATCTCCTCATACTGCTCTCTCCCTCGCCCAGTACTCCCCAGACACAGTGACCTCTCTCACTTCCTTAAAACCGACACAGCTATATTTGCTCAGCGTCTTGGCATTAGTTCTCTCACCTATCTTCCCTGATCTTTCTGAGTCTGGTCTTGTCAGATATCAATTCAAATCTCATGTCCTTTGAGCTTTCCCTGTTCTTCCAATATGAAAAGCCAGTACAGTTGTCCCTTGGTGTCCATGGGGGATTGATTCCAGGGCCCTCCTCAAATACCAAAATCCCAGGATGTCCAAGTCCCTTATATAAAATGTGAAGTGTTTGCATATAACCTATGGTCATCCTCCTGTATACTTTAAATCATCTCTAGATTACTTATAATTCCTAGTACGTTGCCTACACATCACTTCATTCCTGTGAACTTAATACTCAGCAAATCAAGCTTTGCTTTTTGGAACTTTGTGGAATTTTTTTCTTCTGAGTATTTTTGATCCTCAGTTGGTTGAATCCATGGATGTGGAATTCAGGGATATGGAGGGCTGACTGTATTTATTATATTAGCTAATTTAATTCTCTGCACTGCACTATTGATGTCTAGTATTTTTTGTTTGTTTATTTGTGTGTTAGCTGTGTTCTCCTGTCAGGTCAGTGATCTGTTCTTGGTTCTTAGTGTGCTCTTGCTGAAGAATGACAAGACACACTGGTAGTAAAGCAGGCAAGAAACAAAGTTTATTGAGCAAAGCAAGATATGTTCACCACAGAGAGTGAATGGGTCCCTATTATTACAAGAGGCCCTGACTGTTAATTAAAATTTTATTTTATATTGTCTGGGTTGGACCCTCCCTGGCAGGCATGGCTCATATGTCACCTCGATGAGCAGCTGTTAGTCATATAACCTAAGTCTTATGCATGTGGACTTCCTGTGAGCTTCTGTGAAGGCCGATGGGGTGGGGGTGGGACAAAACTGCAATGCAGATTTATGCTAATGACATGATAATTGGCCCAAGGTTACTTTTGGTCATCTTTCAGACCCTACTGCACCTACGCTGCTTGGCCTTCTGGGAATTCCTTCCTCTGGTAATCCCCGTCCAATTTTGTGGTTAGTGCGCCGAGTTCTGATTGGCAGTGCACTCCTCCTCCCTCCTGCTGTGGTGGTTATCTCAAGCGGGGGCTTGCCCCCTGTCCCTGGGAGAGCCAGAGACCCCTTACTATCTACCTAACAACCCCACTAGAATATAAGTTCCATGAGGTCAGGGATTTTTTTCTAATTTATCCTGTATCCTTACTGTCTAGAGCAGCGCCTTGCATCTACATAGCACTCAATAAATGGATGTAAATAAATGAAAAACCAGTAACTCTTTAGCATATCATTTCTCTGAGTGTCTACTAGGGACATGAGGTGATGTGAAGAAACCCCTATGGCCAGGAAGGAATCTGCTTATTTTCAACATTTTTAAATATTAGAAAAAGTTTTTTCATTATAAAAATTTTTACCCATATAATAAAACATTTTGAAATATAGAAAAGGTGGTAGGGGCAAACATGTACCACTTGACACATCCTCTATTAGCACTTTGGTATATTTCCTGCTAACCTTCCCCACTATTTCTATGTATTTGTTTTAAATAATTACAGTCATGTTATATGTAGTATTTTTTTTTTTTTTGCCTTGCAGAAACGCTTGACACTATCATAAACATTTATATCCTTGTTGCTACAAAGTCTGAATGACCATTATTTTTAATGGCTCGATGATATTCCAAAAATCATTGCTTTATAAAAATAATTGTGGTAAAATATACACAAAATTTACCATCTTAACCATTTTTAAGTGTAGCGTTCAATGGCGTGAAGTACATTTACACTGTTGTGCTACCATCCATCCACAGAGTTCTTTTTAACTTGCAAAACTGAACCACTCTACTCACTAAACACTAACTCCCTATACTTCCTTTCCCACTGCCCTTGGCAACCACCATTCCACCTTCTGTTAATTAAGAAACCCCACCCCTCCCTGACTCTGGGCCTGGTTGGAATCTGATCATGGTACTCCTGTGCCTCTCCAGCTCTTGTTGGAAACAGACCAAGAACTAGGGGCATGTTCAAGATATCTTTGATTAAGGTACATATATTTCTTAACATCCTAGATATTTTAATTTGCTAAACCTGTTGCATCTTGTCTTCACTGAATAATGGACTTATAAAATAATAGAGCTAGAAAGAAATACAATGCCATGTTTTTGGGTGGGGAGGGAGATGGGGGTATGCTGTTTGTTTTTCCCAGCTGCTGCAAGAAGCCCTTAAGAAGTTACTTTAGATGCCAGGACTGGGGTGGGGTGGGGAGGAGATAAGGGGAAATCAAGGGTTGGGGGAGGTTTGGAGGTGGAGAAAAAGAGGGTGAGTGAGATACCAGAGAAGTTCTGCTTTTCCCTATTTTACATGTGTGTCTTTCACATAAGTTATAATTCTAAAAAAGTGTATGAGGCAAGGAGAAGGAGAAGGAGGAAAGTGGGAGGGAGGAGGAGAAAACTACTAGTCTAACCCCCAGAGAGTAACAGCCTCTTGCAAAAGGCATATGGTATTTCACCTGCTACGAAAGGAGAAGCCCTAGTACTGTGGTCCCCAACCCCCCGGGCTGTAGACTGGTGCCAGTCCTTGGCCTGTTAGGAACTGGTCCTTGGCCTGTTAAGAACTGGGCCGAACAGCAGGAGGTGAGCGGGGAGTGAGCTTCATCTGTATTTATAGCTGCTCCCCATCACTCGCATCACTGCATAAGCTCTGCCTCCTTTCAGATCAGCTGCGGCATTAGATTCTCATAAGGAGCGCGCAAATACAGATTATCATTAGCAGAAAGATTTGACTGCATAATAAATGTAATGTGTTTGAATCATCCCCAAACCTTCCCCTCCTCCCTGCCCCAGTCTGTGGAAAAATTGTCTTCCATTAAACCAGTCCCTGGTGCCAAAAAGGTTGGGGACCGCTGCCCTAATATATTATTCAAACCAAGCAACGGAGCCACTCAGGGCCCAGGATTGACCCACAAGCCTCTTTGAAGACATGCGTCTTTGTGGGAGGAGTGGATGGTGTCAACCGGTCAACTTCTTCCAAGCCAGCAGTGGACATTTATAGCAAGAATAGGGTCTTGCCTGCCCCTTGGGTGAGAAGTACAGATATATTTAGGTCAAAAGGTGACAAACTAAGACCCAGTTTAGCTGTTGGCTCCCCAGATTAGACTTAAAAGGAGGGACAGGGACCTAGGGAAGGCAGTGTAGCCCTTCACCTGTGAGTAAGAATAGCCCCATTTGCTTGTGAAGCTCTGATTGCCGTTTGATGCCATTTAACAGATCCATGTCAGCATGCAGACATAGTAGTGACATGCCAAAGGCTTTCCTTCAATTAACTTTTTTAAATCAGTGATTGACTTGAAGACATATTTAGAAGTTTTTTTTTTTTTTTTTGAGACAGAGTCTCACTGTGTTGCCCAGGCTAGAGTGCCGTGGCGTCAGCCTAGCTCACAGCAACCTCAAACTCCTGGGCTCAAGTGATCCTCCTGCCTCAGCCTCCCAAGTAGCTGGGACTACAGGCATGCACCACCATGCCCGGCTAATTTTTTCTATATATTTTTAGTTGTCCAATTAATTTCTTTCTATTTTTAGTAGAGACGGGGTCTTGCTCTTGCTCAGGCTGGTTTCGAACTCCTGAGCTCAAACAATCTGCCTGCCTCGGCCTCCCAGAGAGCTAGGATTACAGGCGTGAGCCACCGCGCCCGGCCTTACTTAGCAGTTTTTAAAGTCACATAAATCTGGGTGGAGCACTATATAGCCTCAGCACTTTTATCTCTACTACTCTCCTGGCAGGACTTCAGGATCCACAGTGATGATAGCCTCCCAATTCCTGGACGGTCCCCGCTGCAAAGATTATCCCCCTCCCTGCCACGTCAACAAGACTACATACCGAGGCCACACCTGGAACTTACTCCACAGAATTGCCCCACCCCTGAAATCTTGAACTATGAAACTCTACTCTGCTCAAAACTCCAATTTTCACACTCCTACATTCCCATTAAACTTATTTTTTCATTTCATCAAGTTCTACTCTCCTTCCTGTTCTCTTTCCTCTGCACTTATTCACTCTCTTTTAATTTCTCCCTGGCCCAGAGTCCACCACTAGTCACTTCAAACACACTGTCACCCCCACCCTCACTCCCTTTGCCTTGGTGATCACTGCCTCTAATCTGACCATTTTCAGGCCCAAATTACCCCATTGTTGGTTTCCTCTGCTCATGGTCCAGGCCTGCAGAACACTTCTAGAGCAAATCACATAACTTTGCTGATTGATTTAATTACAAAATGAGGATTTCCAGCCCTGGCTGAGTGCTTGGTGCTGCCAGGACATCTTTAGCAGTCACTATTCTTTCCAGCTTCCCACAGGGTCTGCTGCAAACCTCAGTCCCTTTCCTGAAGCCTCCTGCATTCTCCCTGTCCCTTTCACCCTAATAGATAAACCGCCTACTTCATGTGAATAGAGGGGCAACTGGATTGAACTCCTTCAACTTTCCTCTTCCCACCTCCATATTTCCCCATGTAGGTACTTCTTCCTGCCTCCTCAATGTCAGAGGAGTGATCCTCTTCCTCTTCTCTGAAACGTTGCAGCAGCGTCATCTCTCCCCACTTCCTTTTCTGCCAAATAACTCTTACAGATCACTTCAC